CTGACATACTTTGGACATGTTGTAAGGAGAGACAGGTCTTTGGAGAGGGACATCATGCTGGGCAGAGTGGAGGGACAGCGCAGGAGGGGAAGACCGTCTATGAGGTGGATTGATTCAGTGATTGGGGTAATCAGGATGGATGTGTCAGAGGCAATGAGATTGGCACAGCATAGAGCAGAGTTTAGGGCTGTTGTACATAGGGTCGCTATGAGTCGCAAGCGACTCGACAGCACATAACAGCAACAACAACATTCATAAGATAGCTATTTTCCTACTGTTTCTTGTAGGTAGATTACTGCATCTTTCAAATTCTGAGTCAGGAAAAATACAGTGGTTCTTCTGCAGGTATTTAATAGAGTCTCCTGTTCAGCACCTCTGTGTAAAATCAGCAGTTTTTTAGTGACACAGACAGCTAAATATATGGCTACTAACTGAAAAGTTGTTACTTTAGATCCACCCAGAGGCAGCATGGAAGAAAGGAGGCCTGGTGATCTCTTTCTCAAAGATCACAGCAATTGAAAACCCTAAGGCGTGCAGTTCTACTCTGAAACACTTTGGGTCACCATGAGTTGGAATCGACTGGTCAGCTATTGGTTTGGTTTATTTATGTATTTTTTTAATCTAAATCCACAGACCCTTTTGTAATGGTTTGGATTGAGGAGAATGGCTTTTGGAGATTAACAAAAGAATAAAAATACTAAAGCATTTAGTATGTGAATTATATTTGCTGCCTGTCAACATGCAGTTTCAATTAAGAAAATGGTAAGTGAATAAAAAGATACTAATATTATCCAAGTTATTGGGAATCCTAGAACATTTAATAGTGCTAATGTGAAACCTATACTTGGACCAAGAGGCAGTCGTCAGAACAGAGCAGGGTAACACTGCATGGTTCAAAATTGGGAAGGGTGTACGCCAGGAACGTGTCCTATCTCCATACCTTTTCAACCTGTATGCAGAGCAGATTATCCGAGAGGCTCTATGAGGAGAAGTGTGGCGTCAGGATTGGTGGAAGATCTATTAACAATCTGCGTTACGCAGATGACACAATCCTGCTTGCCAAAACTGAGGAGGACCTCATGCACTTGCTGCGAAGGGTCAAGGACTGCAGCTTTCAGGATGGACGGAGGCTCAATGTCAAGAAGACAAAGATTCTCACCACTGGATCAATTGGTAGCATCAGGATGGATGGCGAAGAGATTGAGATTGTTCACAGCTTCAGTTTGCTCGGCTCCACAGTCAACACTCATGGCACCAGCAGCCAGGAAATCAAAAAACGTATCGCGATGGGAAAGTCTGCTGTTAGGGACCTCTCTAAAGTACTCAAGAGCAATGGTGTCGCTCTGGAGACTAAGGTGCGCCTGATACAGGCCATGGTCTTTGCAGTCACTTGTTATGCATCAGAGAGTTGGACAATGACTAGGGAGGATAGAAGGAGAATTGATGCCTTTGAGCTGTGGTGCTGGAGAAGAGTATTGAATGTACCCTGGACTGCCAAGAAAACAAACAGATTCATCCTGGAGAGGGTTAAACCAGGCTACTCCTTGGAGGCAAGGATTCTGGGGCTTTGTCTGACATACTTTGGACATGTTGTAAGGAGAGACTGGTCCTTGGAGAGGGACATCATGCTTGGTAGGGTGGAGGGACAGCGCAGGAGGGGAAGACCGTCTATGAGGTGGATTGATTCAGTGATTGGGGTAATCAGGATGGGTGTGTCAGAGGCAATGCGATTGGCACAGGATAGAGCAAGGTTTACGGCTGTTGTACATAAGGTCGCTATGAGTTCCAAATGACTCGACGGCACATAACAACAACAATAACAATGGTTTTTCATATTATTGATTACGCTTTTTTAAAAAGTGAAAATGTTATATGTTTGCTTATGCATGTATAAGAGATAGAGCTTTGAAATAGGTAATTTTCGTGTCCAAATTGTCTGTGTGATCTTTTCAGTTTCACACATTCCTCTGAGCCTTGGTATCCTTATTTATACATAAAATAGAGATAATAATTTGTTTGGATTTTGAAGACATTTATATATGTAATACCCATACAAATGTTTTGCATCTTACCCAGTTCATGACAAATAATGGACAAATACTATAAGAATTGTTTCCTGACGTGATTTGCAAGTCTAAATTCACGTTGTATCATCAGCCGAAAGGGTAGTATTGGGGTTTTTTTTAAGACAAAAAATAATGAACAAGATTTTCAGAGGAGTTAAGCCTCTGTGTTTGTATGTATGTGGATACGGCTACTTAAGTTTTGAAAGAGTGATTCTGGAGTGAGTCAAGTAATTATTATTATGTAATTGAGTCAAGGTAGTCTTTTTCTCATAAAAATAAGTATTAAGAATGGGCATAGTTAAGTTCTCTGGTATTCTTCAATAGATGTATTGAGGCCTGGTTTTCTGACTTTGCTTTTTTGTTTCCTTTTTATAAATGATAACAGTGAGAATGAATCTCTTTGGAAGGAGGTGTCAGAATTACGAGCAAAGCATGCACAACAGCAGCAAGTTATTCGAAAGGTAAGACTTTATTTATCATGACCATATTCTGCATATATTCAGTGAGAATATTTGTGACCAGCAAATTCTGTTGGCTAACTAGTGATTCATTCAGTTTGTTTTGTTTTGAATATTGTTGCTTTTGGAACCAACCCATGGCTGACCCTCTGGCTAGTTTTTAGAGGCAGTATATCACATGGGAGGAGATTGCCCATCCTTCTTCCACATATTTTGACTATATAGACAAAAAAAAGGAAAGGATTTTAACTCATACATATGAGCCTATTATATAGCCAAATGCAATAGATAACTATAGATAAATCATTTGCTTTGGTGTTAGAGAATTTTGACTGCTTAAGTGTGAGTTAATAGTACTGAGGGAAAATAAACAGAGGAGTTCAGTTTAAAAAAGGTGAAATCAAACTCAAATGATTTTCTGTATTATATACATTTATTAATAAACATTTCTCATTAAATAAAGATGGTCTTTTTATACAGATAAGATGTCTCAACTGCTAAGGCAGTATACTTTTTTCTGTTAACAACTTTGAGGTATTTCATACCTTGGAGCATGATTGATACACTGTCAGTTTCTTCAATTATTGACTGTAAGAGATACAGTTCCGATGTGTGTGTGTGTGTGTGTGTGTGTGTGTGTGTGTGTGTGTTTTACTATAAAAGACACTTGAGTATGAGTCACTTGTTTATTAGGCAACCAAAGTTCCCATTTAAAAAAAGAGACAACTCAGTTAATATGATGTTATAAAATGAATTCTAGATTTTAGTATCTCAGTTGAAAACTAATGGAGGGAGTTGAAAGTCCTTCTGTTTCCTTATGATTTAATCATTGCATATATGCTTTCAGATTATTAATAGGTGAAACATAAAAGTCATTAACCCAGCTGTTTTTTTAATCATGAGTAAATTGAACTCTAAGTTTAGGCGACAGAGGTTTTTCTTGGATTTGAGGATGGAGAAAGAGCCAACCTATTCCTGCTAAGACATTTGAGCTAAAAATAGGATTATGACTGATGGACTCTAGGTTTAGTACAGCAGGCTTAGAGCAGTAATACCGTTGCAATCTTGTCTTATGGTCAAAATAAGTATAATTTTAAAAAGCTACAAACCCCAGAATTGAATGCAGTTTTGATTAGTTAGATTAGATTAAAATTCATTTCAAAGTTTATACATTTTCAGAACTTGTACAACCCTGTTAAGAATATCTGCTTTAATTATGCTGAGTGAACTTACTCAGTCCCACAAGGACAAATATTGTATAAAACCATTATTGTAGAATGAGTATGAGAATCCAAGGTGGAGGGGGGGAGAGTGGAAGCTGGCGGGTAAGGATAGGCAGGGGATGGGTTTGGGGTGTTAATCATAGGGTTGCACAATTCGATGGGTGAGGGAGCAGTGAAGGAAATGGGAAAGATCTTTTGTGAAACACAATCTATTCAAACTTTGTAAATAAATCAGTATAAAATAAAATTTAAAAAAATTAAGACTATCTGCTATAAATTACAAATGTTCTTTGGCCTGCATTTTTTAATTTTATTATTTGTGTGTGTGTGCTGTCAAATCAGATCTGACTGGTACAGAAGGAAATTGTCCCTCCTTCCCTGCAGACCATCTGGTAGATTCGAACTGTTCGCCTCTGGGCTTGCAGTGCAGCTTCTTGCCACTAGGCCACCAGAGCTCCCCACGGCCTGCATTTTTTGAAATAATAATCTTTCCTGGAAAAAAAAATTAACATTAAATATTTATTTATGATATATAAAAATTTGTAAACTTCATTTTTCCTAAGAGCAAGAATCATTGAAGTTTCAGTTTTTCATGGAAGTAGCATATTTTCTGCTTAATGTGAGTGTGGATCTGTTTTCTGATAGGATTGAAGAGCTCTATGACAGGCAGTAAGGTTTTCTTCGTCTCTAGGATTGCTTCCTAATTTTTCCAGTTGCTCTTTGATCTTAGATTAACATCAATTCTTATGTATGAGGGACCCTTTAATAGGATTTGTCCAATAGAGAAGTTAGATGCTGTAACTGTTACAGCATCCTCAACAACTTTTGTTATGTGATAAGAACAGTATCAAAATAGAACTGTTATAAAGATTAAATTTTGGGAAAAATCTGTGGCCAGTTTTCATGTTGTTTAAATTGGACCACTAATTGTTTTTTTCTGTTTTCTCATATGTCTATTTGTAAATTAACATAAATAATTGACTTTTTCTTTAGATATGTTTACGTTTAAATGTTACATTTTAACCAGTTGTCAGCATTTCCTTTTAGTAAGTTATTAATGACTAACCAACCCCTCGGTGACACTCCAGCATGTTTTCATAGGCAGTTAATTCATGGGAGGAGATTGCTTATTCTTCTCCCATGGATCAACTGGTGTATTTGAACTGGGTGCCTTCAGGATTGTGGTGCAACTAATGTCTAACTCTTCAGTTAAGATGTCTGTATTTTAACCGATACTGGTTGTAAAGCAAGTTGTTGAATAATCACTTTTGAGGAAAAGCAAAATATTAAAGCTAGACAGTGTGTATTTTTAAATGACAATACCCTATTTTAATCATGTAATAATATTTTATTTTATAAGACAGTCTTATCTTCTTACTTTTGACCTAATTCATAACCTCCCTCGTATTGTTTTTAATAGTTTCCAATATGAGTTTAACCTTTTTGGCATCTTTTGGAAGTCAAAGCATATGCTAAACTAGCAGTTTTCACACTTTAAATCATACCAATATCCCTTGGAAGGCTTACTAAAATGCCTCTGGTCCCCACCCCTAGAATTTCAGATTCGGCAGTTTTGGAGTGGGACCGAGAATTTGCATGTCTAAATAATACCCAGGCAAGTGCCACTGGTCCATGGACCACACTTTAAGAATCACTACCATTAAATACAAAGGTTTGTTTGCATGTTTTATTAATAGTTTTTCCTCTAAATTTAACCATTTAACAATTGAGGCTGCTCTTGAATGTCAGAACACATCTTTGACTGACAAATGTTTAGTGCTTCAACAGTGTCTCAGAAATCGGGTTTTTTCTAACATGAATACTTCAGGTGTATTCTGTGTAGACAGTTTTTTCTTATTTCCTCTTGCATCATAAATGTAATCTTTATAATATTTTAATAAAAATACATAGGTTCTTGGAGGCATTTCTGTGACCATGCATAGATAGCAACAACTTTATCACAGTTAATTCTTCCTGAAAGCTGCTTTGTTTCCTTAAACATCAGAAGACTTGCTAATGTGAATTAAAGAATTAGAATTTTAAAATAGGTGTTTTATTTATTTGTATTTTCATTTTAGATTGTCCAGTTTATTGTCACATTGGTTCAGAATAACCAACTTGTGAGTTTAAAACGTAAACGGTGAGTTTTTATGATAAACTACTTTGATTTCTATATATACAGCCAAACATTTTCATACTTAACAGTATATGGTCTGTCTGAGAGCTTACTGGTTAAAGACTTGCATTGCCAAGTGATATGCAGGCAGTTTGACTCCACCAGCTGCTCCATGGGAGAAAGATGGGCATTCTCCTCCCATTCTATTTACAGCCTCTGAAAACTGACTGGAGGGTTAGTTGTAAGTTGATTCTGATTCAACAGCATGGATTGTTATTGTTTTGGTTTTTGATTCTTAAACGGTGTTCTCAACATCTCCAGTTGTTATGTGCTGTCAAATCTGAACTGCCTCGTTACTGAACCTCCAGTGAGTTTTCAGAGGCTATAAATTAAGACAGGAAGAGATTGCCCATCTTGTTCTAAAAAAAATAGCTTGTGTGTTGAACTACCTGCCTTTGAATTGGCAGCACAACTCTTTACCACTAAACCACCAGAGCCCTATTGCTGTCATCCTGCTTAAGTATTTGAGAGTAGCTTTAATGGACACACTGAGTTAATCCAGATTTTATTTTTCATTCAAATTAACAATTTAATGTAGTAGTATAAACTGAAAAACTTTTTTCACAAAAGAAATAGGCATATGTTGAAGAAACATCTTGTGTTTCATCTGGTCATAAAATTCCTTTTACTGCATATCCACTTTAGGTTTTCTTATCTATAAATATTCAGAGCTACTGTTGCCATGCCTAAAGCATAAAAAAAATAGTGGCTAAAAGAAAAGACTATTTTTGTAAAGCTAAGATTTTGTTAAAGCTTGATTATGATCAAAGCTTGGCGGCTTTTACTGTCTTTCCAATTTAAGATTCCTTAGTATTTTATTTTACTGTATAATTAGAGTTTATAAAGAGTTGTGTTTTTCAGTCAGCAATGACATGTGTCTAGAGATTGTGGTTTGTTATATTTATGAATATAAAAGTAATACAGAAGAATGGGGAAATAAAAAGGTTAGACACACTCATTTTGGGGCAGTTTCTACCCTCAAAACAAATAATTTTTAAAGAGTTCCTTATATTCCTAGAATTTGTTACTCGTTGTTAAAATACTCATTTTGTGTTTGTGTGTGAATTAAGTTTTTAAGAGCAATTAAAGCTCTTACATGTTTCCTTAACTGAACTGGCTGAATATCTTTCTGATTTTCAGGCCTCTACTTCTGAATACTAACGGAGCTCAGAAGAAGAATCTCTTTCAGCACATAGTCAAAGAACCAGCGGATAGTCACCATCATAAAGTAATTCTTTGTTAAATTCTGTTCCTTATTTTCTTAAACTAAACTATAATCTTATGAATAAAGAGTTTAGCGAATTACAGTGAAAATGCTCATCCCCCAGCTACGTAATTAAATTGTACTTTTTTTCTTTAGATTATTTTAAGAAATAAACCATTACAGGTATAATTGTCCCAGTTCTTAAAACTTGTTATCCCCACCCCTTTTCTCTTTAGAGATAATTACCTTAAATTCAGTATTTATATTTCATGTGACTATTTTATACATGTGTATCCTTGAACAATATTCAGTTCAATTATTTTGCATATATATATAAACTTTGTATAAATGATAAATGTTTGTACACCTTTAATAAAGAGTGGCTCCCCCCCTTTAAAAAAAAACGAATAATTATCTTTGCACACCCGTGTTTATCGCGGCTTTGTTCACACTAGCAAGGAGTTGGAAACAACCTAAATTGCCGTCAACAAACGAATGGATAGAGATGCTGTGGTATATTAACACAATGGAATACTACGCTGCATTGAAAAACAAGGAACT